CCGGTGCGGGGGCAACACTGAGGGTTGCGATCCGTTGCCGGACACGGAAAAAGACAAAAAGACAAAAAAAAAAAAAGAAATAGGATAATACAGACAGGCCCCGTATGTTGATTTCACTAGGGAGAAATGCAAGGATCCCATTGCTGACTTAAGAGAAAACACTGAGCTGATAGGTGCAAGGCCATGAATGAGCTAAGACAGAGTGAAGGGTTGGAGAACTGAGATAATTTTGGAGGAAGGATAAGAAACTTGGTTCAATTGTTTTCGCTACATATTGCTTTACATTCATTTTTAATGGCTGGGGAAAGCAGGCAGGAGGAGATGCAGAGGTGGAGGAGCCTACTTGCAGAGAGCTCACCACTGACTTACAGGTGTCAATGTCCCCCTCCACCACAAAAAGGAAAAAAGCAGAGAACACTTAAAGCCCTAGTTGGAGGAACCATCCTTAACCAGTCACATGACACATTCTTTCTCCTTGTAACATTATTGTGTTGAATATTAACTAGTGTTTTGAATCAAGTTAATAGTATTTTAAAAAATGGAAGAATATACTAGAAATGGAAGAACAGGGGAGGTCACAAGGGACCAGCTGCATGGCTCCCAGCCTTACCACTGACTCATTTTGGCCTTGGTGAAGGAAGAATCTGAATCTTTACTTCTCTTTTTTCCATCTACCAACATGTATATTCTCCTGGCACCTGGTGCTTTATGTATTACAACATGGTTCTTTTTAAATTGAGATATCCACATACCATAAAATGCAACACTATAAAGAGTATGATTCAGTGATGTTTAGTACATTCTCCAGATTGTACAACAATCACCATTATTTAATTCCAGAACATTTTCATCGCCCTGAAAAGAAACAGCCATCGCTTCCCATTTCTCTCTCCCAGGCAACTACAAATCTACTTTCTGTCCCTGTAGATTGGCCTATTCTGGACATTTCATATAAACAAAACATACAGCATGTGGCTGTTTGTGTCTGGCTCTTTTCACATAGCATGTTGCTTTTAAGGTTCGTCTGTGTTGTAGCATGTATCAGTAGTTCATTCCTTTCTAAGGCTGAATAATATTCCATTATATGGATATAACATATCAGTTCGTGTGTTCATTTATTGGGCATATGGATTGTTTCTACTTTCTGACTATTATAAATAATGGTGCTATGACCATTCATGTACAAGTTTTTCTATAGGCATATATTTTTAATTCTTGGGTGCATACCTGGTAGAATTGCTGGGTCATATGGTGACTAATGTTTAGGTTTTTTTTGTTGTTGTTGTTGTTTTTGGTGGTTGGCTGGCACAAAGTTAACTTTTCTAAGGAAATGACAAACTGTTTTCCACAGTGGCTGCACCATTTGACATTTCCACCCGCATTGTATGAGAGCTCTAATGTCTCCATGTTTTTGTCAACACTTTTTATTCTCTGTCTTTTTTATTACAGCCATCCTAGTGAGTGTAAAGTAGTAGTGTCTCATTATGGTTTTGATTTGCATTTCCCTAATGACTTAAGACATGGAGCATCTTTTCAGGTACATATCGGTCATTTTTATATCTTCTTTGAAGAAATGTGTATTCAAACCCTATCTCCGTTGTAAAATTGAGATTTTTATTGACTTGTAAGAGTTCTTTATATATTCCAGATATTTTGCGTACTAGAACTTTATCAGATATATTATTTGCAAATATTTTTCCCATTCTGTGAGTTGCTTTTTCCCTTTCTTGATAGTGTCTTTTGAAGCACAAAAGTTTTTCATTATAATGACATTTATCTATTTCTCCTTTGGTTTGTTTGTATTTTTGGTGTCATATCCAAGAAACTGTTGCCTAACCCAAGGTCATGAGTATTTAGTCCTATGTTTTCTTCTTAGGAGTTTTACCATTTTATCCCTTAAATTTAGGTCTTTAATACATTTTGCATTGCTTTCTAAATAAGGTGTGAGGTTTAAGAGTCTGTCAAGCAGGAATCTCAGATCCTTCTGCCCCACCCATCCTGTGCCGGCTGTAAGTCAGGTAGTTGAAAGAAGACCCTGGCAGCTTTATGCAAGGTAG